ATCAGTTTTTAGCTATTAGAAACCTTATTTCACAGCAATCCTGGCTGCCTGTAAAAAAGAATTTTAAAAAGTTAGTGGGATGCATAAGATACTTTTGGAGCTACCAAGAAAGATGCCTGGAGGCACCCTGGTGCCTATGTGCAGTGCATTACCTGGTCTAGGGAGAGGTTCAAATGTAGCGCTTCCCAAAAAAAACTTAAGCTTTATAGCAGAACTACATCTTTGGTAATATAAACTGCTACAACTCTGCTGGAACCTGCTTAAGGGGATACAGGTGAGGAATGCATATTTCAAAGTTTAGCACATAAAAATTGTCACAGTTGTTAAAGATTAGCATGTCAGAAGTGAATCCTGACTAGCTTTCTTCCTGATATGCTAATTTCCCTGTGGAATGGAATTCATTGAAAACATGGGAAGGCCTTCAAACATATAACCTCTGATCTTTCTTTTGTATTCTGAAGTAATCCAAATTCAGGAAGGCTGTACTATATGCTATTTTGTGAATGTGCAGATCATCTCTTCGGTTCCTCAATATCAGAACCACTTTACTGAAGTGAAAATAATCTCATCAGGCAAGTTTCTAAGGGATTAAGCACCCAAACAGTACATCTCTGTTATTTCGCTCATGTCTTCATGCACAATTTTCTGTTTGCTGGCAGCTACACTCTGACTTTCCAATAATGTATGTCTTTGTTTGGGCTCCTTTTTAAAAATGGGGATATTCTCAAAATAAAGAAAGTTCTATTTGAAACCTGAGTAACCAGAAACTGGAATGGCATGTTGATTATAGAACATTGCGACAAAAATGGAAAAATTTGTGTGCAAATCTGTGCAAATGTAGGAAGAAACAAAGCAAAGAAGGATCTTTGTTTTGGTTATGTGATTCTTTCATTATTAGGTCACTTTTAAAGAATGAACATCAACATTAAGAACATTTAAGTTTGTTTTATTTCAGCAAGACAGCTAAGTACATGCTTTGCTTAAATATTTAGAAAAATAATGAAGTCTATCATATCTTTGTTCACTTTTTTCTTGAGCTTCTTCCCAATGGTTTTTATGGATTTTAGTAATAGTATCCACATGGGAGATATGTATGTATCTCCACATCTGGACACTCTGGGCTTCCTGAATTACCATTTAAGCTTTCTTGGGAAATGGATGAACAGCATAAAACTAATTGTTCTACTGTCCTATGCATGCTATAGGACTGCTAAAAGTTCCTTCTTTGTGGAACACTCCCTTACTCTGGAACATGTCCCAAACACAAAAAGAATATCCTTGACTTAATAGTATGCAAAAAGCTACCACAGGTTAATACTGACATAAATATTGACCAGTATTTAAGTATACTGGGTCTTAAATTTTGACTTGAAGAGTACAGAAGTGGTAAACGCATCCCCTCACACAAGGTGGAAGTTAAGGGGCTTTCAAAGCAAAATGTGCCTGCAACTGTATGGTCTAAAGCAGGGTAGTCGAACAGGCGGCCCATGGGCTGCATGCAGCCCCCAAGGCTTTATTCTGCAGCCTTCCTACCACTTGGATCCCACCTTCCTCTCCAATCCAGATCCCAGTGATAGCACTGGCATGATTACAACAAGCTCTCCCAAGGCCACCAGCTCACCTCAGCACGCCCCACACCTCTGCAACTGATGAGCGCAAAGGTGCTCAAGAGAGAGTGCAAAGGTGCCTTGGGAGAGCCTTTGTGCTCATCAACAGGAGTGGATGGGGCATGCTGGAACGAGTTTGTCAACTCAAGTAGAAGAGGCTCAGTGCGCCAATTCCAAGAAGGAAGGAGGGGTCAGGGTCACGTGGGAGGGTTTCTGGGCAGGAGAAACAGGGAAGAAAGGGATAAGCCACCCCAGAGGAGGGGTCATTGTGCTCTGGTCAGAGAAGGAGCTGCCTGTGATTTCTGCAGGGATCACAGGCCCACAAAGCATTTTTTTCATTCAGTTAGTCCTCAAATCATCTTAAAATTAATCCTTCCCTGTTTAATGGTTAATTAAATATATTAGTTGTGTATATTAAATAAATATATTGTGAACACTTTAATTTCCGATATGGAAATGTAATTCATTGTGTGGCCCATGGGTTCCGTGTTGGAAGGCCTCATAGAGCCCTCAAGGTAAGAAAAGTTGGACCACCCTGGTTTAAACTATGGTGAGCTGTTTTCTAAAAGATCTTACCTTGTGGAACAGCTCTGATTACACTTTGATGCGCTATAATCCTAAGAATTACTAATCTCTCTTAAATTCACTCTCAGTTAAGACTTTAAGTAGGATTGCAATCTTATAATCCATCTTTCCCCATTACTCAGAAATAAGTCTTATTCATTTACATTATTTTACATCCTTGCAGGATTCCATCCATAGACTGTAAATCTGTTTGGAAAAGGCTGTCTCATTTTTGTATAGTGCCCACCAGTCTGAAGACATTTTTAGTAGCAGAAACAGCATAAGCCAAAGTAATGTTTATCATTGAGCAGGCAAAAGTGAAGTAGGAACAAAACATTCATATTCTAGCAAACAGAAAGAACTTCACATTCTCTATGTTTCTTCACATTTCTGTCTGTTTCATATGGTTTCTTGAAGGAACCATATGAAATTGGTTCCTTCAAGAAAAGCTTTCAAGAAAGCTTGCACATGCTTGCTGGTACCCCTAGGCACAGAACCTGCCATATTATACTCCTTCAGTCTCCTGACAGAAGAGTCTACCCACAGAAGGCAAGAAAGGGTGCCTAGCAACCTCCAGCCTACTAACCTCTTCCTTGGCCTAGCAACCTCCAGCACTTTCAAATTGTATTGATTCCAAAGCTATGAACTGATAAGGGGCATCAGCCCCTAATGACTGAAGACATGGATTTCAACCACACATAGACATGTGAATGTATTAGCACTATTTAATGCACTTGAAAAATAAAAAGGCCCCAAGGTGCATATCCCTAGAATCTCACTAGTATCAGTGCCAAGTTTGCATAGTCTAGGATTCATGGTTTTAGCACTATGATACTGACAGATGGATGGACAGATAAACATCCTGTTTAATTATTATACTATATATGAGCACAATATTAATGAATTTTCAAATAAGAGCAATTAGCACAGGATTTTAATATACAAAAATACTGCTTGTTTAGTTAATGCTCAACATTTAAAAACATTGGGATTAAAAATCATTTCTGATTATTTCATTTTGTGTATAGATTTGACCCAGTTTTTCATTTTTTCACCTTGTTTTTCAGTGCATTCTGTAGTGAACTACTCAAATATAACCAACTGATTATGTGTATCAGTGGCAGATGGCAACTAGCCCTTACTTCCGCACTAAAAACTTAAATTCTCAGAGAAGCCAGATCTTCAAAGTAATTGATTCTGTATCAGGCCACGATGGCACACAATGCCTGCTTTACAGACAGAATGGAGACAGCAAAGCATACAGAATGGGGAACAGATGCATGGCCCATTCTACTTAAGAATGTATAAGATTCAACAATGGACATCTGCCTAAACCAGGCAAAATATGACAAGCATTTTCATAGCTGGCAGCAGCTAGAAACCCAATCCCATGCCCTGTTGCACAATTATAATGGTGTGTAGAATCTCGCATTAAGTTTGCTCCATTCTTTGAAAAGCCTTCCTGCCATAATAAATGTATCTAGCTGCCGAAAAATATAGCAATGGCCTCCATTTTATCTCCAGGATCAATTTGAAGTGCTGGCTTTTATCTATGAGGCTTTAAGTGGTATTAGGGTGTATGAAAGGCACCTTCTCCCATTTGAAGCTGCCCATTCACTAATAATAGATAGTCCCTGCCTTTTGAGATTGGGTGGAAGTACCAAGGTGAAGCTTTAAAAAAATGTCAACATCCCTCTTGCAGAATGGGTATCCTAGAAATATTTGCCTGGTAGCTACTTTTTACCATTCACGCATCAACAGAAGGCAATTGTTTTTTTCTGTGCTTTTGATGACTTTTCTTTAAACTGCTGATGGTTTTCTTCGACTGCTGGTGGTCTTACTGTTAATTTTAAAATAACATCCAACATTTTTATGTGGATTGTAAGTCATCTTAAGCACAGTTTGTAGAAGATTAGCAACTTTTAGATAATAAGTGAACAGAGAAACATCCCTGTCCAACTGATAGCACATTGTAATGCCACATCTGCCTCTTATACCAGACAAAACTTTATCAAGTTGCCCACTATAACAATATGAGTCAGTACTTCTTTGGAGACATAGTTATGATACCACGGTCTGGGCTGTGTGTTATTTGTATCTCTTGAAATTGCCTGAGATGGTATCGTTTTGGCTCTTATATAAGCAACACAGATCCAGCACCAAAATATAGAGACTATTCTGGAAGAATTAACAAATCAGAGCAGCATAAGCTGTTCTATACTGAATCAGACTATTTCTCCATCTAGCTCATTACTGTCTATACCAGGCCAAGGGAACTTTTACAGCCTAGGAGCCAAATTCCAGTTTTGGAAATATCATGGGAACTGCATTACAGCAGTGAGCAGGGCAAAAGGAGGAGTGAGTGAACCCAAATTGTGATCCTGACTTTTTTTTTTTTAAAGTCTGTAAAAGGAAATTCCGGAGAATCCAGATTAGATTAGTGTACTCAAACAAACCACCCGCAGAACAATCTAGCCTGAAATCAGCCTCACTGAATTCTACAGAATTTATTTCCAGGTAAGCATGCGTAAGTCACAGAAACAGCATTAAAAAAAAAACAAAAAACAAAAACAAAACTTGGGTATAGACTCTGTCACCACAACTCAAGGATAAGTTGCCAGCCAACAATAGGATTTAGGTCAATTTCATGCAACTCAAATTTTAATAATGAAATTATATTGGTACATTTGAATCTGAGGCAGAAGTAATTAGTTAAATCTCCTCCAGATTATACAGCAGCTTTCCTGAAAATATTTTCTGCTGTATGTGTGTCTTTACCATATTATTACATAAAATTAGGTACAAACCTCCCCTACCCTTCTTTGATACCTTTATAGTTTCGCTAGGAACTCCAGGATCTGGAACTTTATTCAAGTAAGTGGTTAAGTCTTGGTCAATATGTTCGAACACCAGTGTTAATTTCGTCTCTCGTTCTGTTCGGGACACTGTGCATACATCAAACAACCTAAGTGGGGGGAGGGGAAACAGAAATACTAAGTAAACAGATAGAAACCACGACAAGAAAAAATTGAAGTCACTTCAAAATGTGCTACTTCCACTTAGCATGAAATTTAATATGAAGAAAATGTCCTGTTGCATTCAAATACAGAATTAATTAGAACATATAATTCATCAGATTGTGCAGTTCATCAGACAATAGATTGGAGTGGCCAAAGTTCCCAAATCTAGAATTTATTTTCATGAAGACCCTCTCCTCTCCTCTCTGTGGGGAGGGTATTATTATGCTGAATACCAGGTTGGCCCAAGGCAAAATCTCCTTAATCCATTATTTAATTGTGGAAGAGAGGGACAACCCGTTGTGTATTACCAAGAAATTTCAGAAGGGTTATATGGGCCACCTTTGGGTACTCAATGCAGTACCAACATCCAGTGGGAATGGAAGGTACGGCATTGCAGTAGTTCCACTCTTACCTGGCTAACCAAGTACAGAAGGTGGTGCTGGGGGGCAGTTGCTCTGCCCCATGGCAGTTGTGTCATGGGGTTCCACAGGGCTCTGTACTCTCCCCCATGCTGTTTAATATCTACATGAAACCGCTGGGAGAGGTCATCTGGAGGTTTGGGCTGAGGAGTCAGCAATATGCTGGCAATACTCAACTCTACCTTTCTCATCTAATACAGGTGATTCTGTTGTCATCCTGAGCTGGGTCCTGGGCTCAATAATGGGCTGGATGAGGGCCAATAAACTGAGTCTTAATCCTGGTAAAATGGAGATACTATTGGTAGGAGCGGGCCTCTGATAGGTTAGGAGGGCATTACCCTGTCCTGGATGGGGTCACAGAGGATCCACAGTCTGGGGGTGTTCCTGGACCCCAGTCTGGGGGTGTCGCTGGAGTATCAGATGGACTCAGTGTCTAGGAGTGCCTTTTTCCAGCTGTGGTGAATTTTCCAGCTTCACCCCTACCTAGGCAGTGGGAACCTAAAGATAGTTACCCATGCTCTGGTAACTTCCAAAATAGATTATTGCAATGCGCTCTATGTGGGACTGCCCTTGAAGATGGTCTGGCAATTGCAACTGGTGCAGAATTGGGCCACTCTTTAGCTTCGTGAGTCCAACATAATAGAGCTCCTTATCAAGCCTAATCTGTGGCAGTGATAGTGGCAAAAAGACGGTTCTCCACTACCTCCATTGCATCTCCTCAGTGCTGTCTAGGGGAGATTTCCTGGTGGTCCATGGCCTGCTGCACTCTGAGCTAAGGAATTTTCAGTAGCACACTGTGTCAAGTTTGCATGGAATTATGAAGCTAAAGTCACTCAAATTGTGCACAACTTGAACACAATAAATACAGAACCATTGGTAGACATATCCACAGCAGTATCTAGATCAATTTCAATTACTGAAGTTCAAGAATGCGGACAAGGTACTTGGTCAAGTCAGGTCAACACCTAGTATGATCAGCACTAGGCCTTTTTGTTTATTATGTTTAACTGGAAGCAGATGTCCAGCAGGGTCCACAAATTTGTAAACTGTTTCTTTGGAAAGAGTGTTATATTGGCATCTATAAAAGGACATTCCTGAAAAGGCTTAAGCTGTACTGAGATGATATTAACAACTACAGGCTAGTAGTCATCTTCCTCAGCATAGTGTTTCAGTAGGTGGTCACTGGTCAACTTGAGGCACTCTTAAATTAAACTTACGTATTATCTAAACTCATTGCGACCCAGTTTCAGGTCTGGTTTTGCAATATACTGTCTTGGTCATCCTGTGGGATGACTTTTTGCTGAGAAAGTGACAAAAGGACTGCAACCCTTTTGATTCTCTTGGACCTCTTGTTTTCTACCACTGAACATGGTTTCCTTTTGGATAGGCTGTCTGGGTTGGGAATTGCAGGCACCGTGTTGCAATGGTTTCATTCCCACTTGGATAGCCAGTTCCAGAAGGTAGTGCTGGAAGATTATTGTTCAGTGCCTTGAAAGTTATGCTATAGGGCTCTATAGGGTTCACCTCTATCCCCAAAGCTGTTCAACATCTACATGAAACCTCTGGGGGAGGTATTATCCAGGTGAATATTTTGCTGAATACTGAATATTTTGCATCAGTATTTATGCATGACCATGAACTGGATGAGGCCTAGTAAACTGAGACACAATCCAGTCAAGACAGACATACTGTTAGTGGGTGGTTCATCTGTCTGGCTAGATGATCATGTTCAACCTGTTGGGGAGGGAGTTACACTCCTGCTAAAGGATCAGATCTTGACTGGGTTTCTGTAATATGTCATACCTGGAGCTGTCTCTGCAAACAGTCAAGAAACTTCAGCTGGTCCAAAATAGGGCACCAACACAGTTAATGGGGACTTAACGACATCACTGCATTATGCTAGTACTTTATGATCTGCTGGCTGCCAGTACATTCCTTAGCCTGAGTGCTGGTATTAATAATCAAAGCCCTCAATACCAATCTATATTGCCTAAATTGTAAGGCTGTCTTCAGTAGAACTTCTGCAGGAGCCTCCACTAAATGACACTGATGACTACTAAACAGAAGGCCTTTTCTGTTATGGCAATCTGGATGTGGAATAAGCTCCTCAGAGAGGCGCACCTGTCACCTACATTGTGACTTTTTTGATGTCAAGTGAAGACCTTACTTTCCCAGGCATTGTAAACTTTCGTGTTTTTTGCTTTAAAATCTGTTATTGTATTTTACATTTTTGTGCTGCTTGATTTTACTTTTTTCCTAATTTTCTATTGTAATTTTTAAGTTAAATATTACATTGTATCATCTTGAACTTTATGGTTTAGCAATCCAATATGCATTTCTTCTTTCACAGTAATGTGAATTTTTAATGTGATAATTTTTCATATAGCCATTGTATTATTCCTTTATTTTACTATTAGTTTCTCAGTTTTAGAATCATAGGTTTATTACACTATTCCCTCTCAATGTGTGCACTGTTGGCTCAATTCAATTATATAAACCTGCATCCAATTATAGTAACTTGGTAAACTTTATCATATGCAAAATGATTGGTATATTCAAGGGGGACAGGGAAAGTGTCAAAACTCGTATTTCCATCATCACTCCACCTAAGAACCAGAATGGAGAGAGGGAATGAAGAGGAAATGCAAAGGCTTTCTGAGCCTCAGCACTTCACCTGCCTGTGTCCTAGACATGCACCCTTTCCAGACTCTACTTCCAACTGCCTCCTACCAACTGTAACTTTTCTCTTGAAGATACCATCTGCCCCTTGCAAGTACATTGCACAAACAGGTCACAATGCAGTTAAGAAAATGCAGTTAAGAAAAACTTTGCTTTTGTCTGGAACCTTTTCATCTTCAGATATCAAAGAAATTTACAAATTGGGTAAGGATTAATATCCTAAAGAACAAAGACTTGAAAGAACCTGTAAGGGGAAGCACAGTAATCTTGCAGTTAAGATATCGATCTGCCATTTCAGAGATTACTTGGGCTAAGCAGAAAATTCCCAGTTAACTGAACTGCATGGGGCTTACCTTAGCTTCCAAATTTCAGCAAAACTGTTATTTCAAATTAAGGAAAAATTGCTCAAGAGGGATTTCTTATATTACATAAGAAGAGGGCAAAGAAACTATACTAAATGATTTTTTTAAATGAATTATTATTTTGTAGAGATGCTAATTTGAAACAAGGTGTCTTTTATAAAATACAATAAGAAATGCTGCTCTTGCAATTTGTGGAATGACTGAAGCATATTTCTATCTCATATATTTTAAGAAATACATGCACAGAAAAATTGCTTGTAAAGAATAATGGATTAAGGTTTTACTGGATTTGTCTGTCTTGTTATAGTGGCTGGACTCAACTGTTATTGTAATTGTACACAAATATATTGTATTAGTGTATGCCGTAAAAAGTTGAAAGAAGAAACTGAAGCAATCATTTGTCACCCTCTCTTCCATCATTCAGTTGTTCACATGACTTGACACTTGTCCTTTGCTTAGATAACCTGCTGAAATTATGTCTGTGATTGTTTATAAATTACCTGGCAGTAACTAAAATGAAAAAGCAAAGACAAACATGTTTGGTCATAAGTAAAATAAGAAAAAAAATCCATAATGCAGTAGATGTGAGTAGATCTATCCCTCCCACTTAACCTTTCCAGCAGAATCACATTAAACTTTAGCACAGTTCTTTTATTCAAAGTTATCAGGTTACAGAACAGCATCCTTGAGATGTAGAGAACCATTGGCCCATGTAAAGGATTGAACCCAAACCGAAACTTCCTCTACTTCCCTTTCAGTAAAGCTTTAGGCTCCAACCTCAGGGTGGCACCTGGTGATTGTGTGCTAGAATGGGAACACTGGATACTTGGCAATTGGACCTCTTGCTTAGTCTGTTGTCTCCTGACTGGTCAAGAAGCTCAGCTCTGAAATGTGCCCCTCCTTTTCCAAAGTAGCTGGTTCTCACATGCTGCCTTATAATCATTACTAGGTAACTCTGAAACTGCTAAGTCATCTGTCTATCTTCATCCTTCAGCTTCCTCCTCAGAATCAGATGAATCTACATGAGCAGATGAATCTAATTATGTAAGAGCAGGGCCACACTCAACATCACATTAGTGCAGTATCTTAAAGGTACAATCCAATGCAGATGCCAGTAACTCCTCAGTTTGGTGGATTATGGGCATCGTATGCAAGGTGGAAGGTACATGGAGATGAAGATGTTTCCTCTCCTCCCTGCCCTCAAATGTGTTCCGCTCGCAAGTTCAGAACTGTTGTGGGTATGGTTCTTCCCCTCCTCCTCCATTCCACCCCACGACTGTGATCATGCAAATATAATCACTTCAAAATCAAGCCATCTTTTCCCCACTCCTACAGTCTACTTTTGTAACATCTTGCCTGATGAAAAGATTTAGTTTAGTAAAAGTAAATCCTACTGATCACCAGCAAATCACACTCCCCCCCCCCCCAATTTCTCTAGTACAGTAGGGTTTTTTTGCTTTGTTTTTGGAAACCGAGCAACAGTTT